TTGGGCTTGGCAAAAGCTGAGGGCTTGGCAGTCCTGCTGAGGTCAGGAAACTGGGAATTAGGGTCCTTGGAATTAGGTCCTAATATGGAATTAGGGTCCATCAAGATGGGTAGATCAGGAACAGGCAGCTTTGAGAGGTGTTAAAGGTACAGATGTGACCAAATTTGGTGTTGTCTTAGGTGTGGGTGGTGAGGTATACAATAGAAAGTCAGGAATGACTTGAGGAGGTTGGGATAGGCCACCTGGGTGTATGGTGGCACCTTTTGGTGAAGTAAGAGACACACAGACAGGACACAGGGTGCTTTTTTCATTTTTAAGATGGTGTGAGGAAGTAATGAATTGATAGAGCAGAATTTTTAATTCTGTATTCTTTCATTATGCTTTGTGTTCATACAGAGTCAGGAAAGTTGTGATTGATTCCTTTGCATCTGAGGTCTTTTCCCTCTTGTCTTCTAGCAGAGCAGGCTGCTAGAAGACAAGCCATACATGTTGATACATCTCCCCTTTATGCTCACAAGGGTCCTGGTTTGGTTGATATCTGGTCACTTTAATTACAACAAAAAGTCATGTATTAATTTCAGTTGTTCAGTCACTAAGTTGTGTCCTACTCTTTGCAACCTCTTGAACTGCAGCGTGCCAGGCTTCCCTGTCCTTTGGAGTTTCCTCAAACTCATGTTCATTGAGTCAGTGATGCCATCCAACCATCTCATCCTCTGTTGCCCCCTTCTCCTTTTGCCTTTAGTCTTTCCCAGCATCAGGGTTTTTTTCCAATGAGTTGGCTCTAGCCATCAGGTGGCCAGAGTATTGGAGCTTCAGCATTAGTCCTTCCAGTGAATAGTCAGGATTGATTTCCTTTAGGATTGACTGGTTTGATCTCTGTGCTGTTCAAGGGACTCTCTTCTTCAGTACCACAGTTTGAAAGCATCAGTTCTTCAGTGCTCATCCATCTTTATGGTCCAACTCTCACATCCATACATGACTGCTGGAAAAGCTGTAGCTTTGACTACACAGACCTTTGTTGGCAAAGTGATGTTTCTGCTTTTTAATCCGCTGTCTAGCTTTGTCATAGTTTTTCTTCCAAGGAGCAAGCATCTTTTAATTTCATGGCTGCAGTCACCATCCACAGTGATCTTGGAAGCCCAAGAAAATGAAGTCTGTCACTGTTTCCATTTTTTTCCCCCTTCTATTTGTCATGAAGTGAAGGACCAGATACCATAATCTTAGTTTTTTTGAATGTTGTGTTTTAAGTCAGCTTTTTCACTTTCCTTTCACTTTCATCAAGAGGCTTTTAGTTCTTCACTTTCTGCCATTAAAGTGGTATCATCTGCATATCTGAGTTTATTGATATTTCTCCCGGCAGTCTCGATTCCAGCTTATGAGTCATGAAGCCAGGCATTTTGCATGATGTACTCTGCATGTCAGTTAAATAAGCAGGGTGACAATATGCAGCATTGACATACTCCTTTTTGCAATTTTGAATCAGTTCATTGTTCCATGTCCAGTTCTACCTGTTGCTTCTTGTCCTGTACACATTTCTCAGGAGACAGGTAAGGTGGTCTGGTATTTCCATCTCTAAGAATTTTCCAGAGTTTGTTGTGATCCACACAGTTAAAGGCTTTGGCATAGTCAATAAAGCAGAAGTAGATGTTTTTTGGAATTCCCTTGCTTTTTCCGTGGTCCAGCATATGTCGGCAATTTGATCTCTGGTTCCGCTGCCTTTTCTAAATCTAACTTACACATCTGGAAGTTCTTGGTTTACGTACTGCTGCAACCTAGCTTGAAAGATTTTTCCATTGGACAGCAAGGAGATCAAACCGGTCAATCCTAAAGGAAATCAGCCCTGAATATTTATTGAAAGGATTGATGCTAAAACTGAAGCTCTGATACTGTGGTCACCTGATGCAAAGAGCTGATTCATTGGAAAATATGGAGTTTGGAGCATGGTTGGAGCATGGTTCTTTCTAGTAGTGAGAGTTTCATGTGTGGACTTCTACTTGGCTGGGAGATATATCCTGCTGACAGCTAGTTTTGTAGACAAAGAAATGTCACAAACCCAGTTGTCTTGTGTAAAAAGCTATAGCATGACTTAAAGATAGTTTTAAAAGCAATTCTTTATTTGAATTAAGACTGTTTTATCCTGTAAGAATTATATACTAGTGAGTTGAGATTTTTTTGGAATACTTTGAAACTAGCCTTATACTTGGGTTATATAATCTGTATGACCTTGAATAAGAAATTAAAATTTTCTATGGCCTTATTTCCTCGACTGCAGAAATAGGTGGATTGAAATCTCTCTGGACTGCCTTAGCCAAGCCATGCTGCTCAGATCTTTAGTCTTTTAAAATTCTTCCCTGTTATAAAAATAAATTGTCCCCATTGTGGAAAATTACCAAAATATGTAAAGAGAAAAAGAGGGTAAAAATGGTTCCATTGATTAAAGGCAATCACTGTTACTATTTCGGTATACTGGTGTATGCCTTTTATATTAGCCCTTTTAAAAAGCAATCTACAAACAACACCTGAATGTGTACTGATTATAAAAGATCCAGGACTTCCTTGATGGTCCAGTGGTTGGGAATCTGTTTGCCAGTGCAGGGGACAGGTTCGATCCCTAGTCTGGGAAGATCTCACCTGCCTTGGGGCAGTTAAGCCTGTTGCACTGCAACTGCTGAGCTCATGCTCCCTAGAACCCATGCTCTGCAACAAGAGAAGCCACTGCAATGACAGACCTGCACACCACAGCTAGAGGAGGCCTGCATGCCGCAGTGAAGACCCAGCACAGCCACAAGGAAAAAAGATCCAGATCCTTCTGGATCCCAGTCCAGAAGGGTTGGAAATGAAAAGTGCCTATCATTACTTCTTGCCCTGAGGGCAACCTATTAGTGATTTTGACTTTCCTGGATCCTTTCCCAAATATTTTGGACAGATAGAGAGGGTATTAACATTTTTTTTTTTTTTTAGCATAATCCGGTTAATTGTAGGCTTGCACTTGTGACTTTAACACTTGTGACTTTTAAAAAAAAACACACAACAGTATTTCTTGGACTTGTTTCCTTGTCAGTACATCAGTTTTATGCTTTTATGTTTTTATTTTATCATTTATTTATTTTTGACTGCTCTGGGTCTTCGTTGCTGTGTGGGCTTTCTCTTTGTCAAGCAGGGGCTTTTCTCTAGTTGCTTGCGGTGCACAGGGTTCTCGTTGCAGTGGCTTTTCTTGCTGCAGTGCTCTAGGGTGCGCAGGCTCAGTAGTTGCAGCACAACAGGCTTAGTTGCCCCGCAGCACATGGGATCTTCTCAGACCAGGGATCAAACCCATGTCCCCTGCACTGACAGGCAGGCTCCTAACCACTGGACCACCAGGAAAGTCTGTTTTATTCTTTAAAATGGCTGAATATTGGGAATTCCTTAGCTGTCCAGTGCTTTGGATTTGTCACTTTCACTGCTTTTGGCCAGATTCAAGCCCTGGTTGCGGAACTAAGATCCTGCAAGCCATGCAGCATAGCCAAAAAAAATTTTTTTTAATGGCTGAATGCTATTCTTGAAATACATACACGATAATTTAACAATGACTTTTTGATAAACATTTACGGTTTTCCAAATTCAGCATTTTAAGTAATGCTGTAGTCATCAACTGTGAACATATATATTGCATAGATATTTCTGGAGGATAAGTTTCTGTAAGTAAAATTGCTGGCTCCAAGAAAATGCCTATTTCAAATCCCAGTGCTAAGTTAATCTCCAGAAAGATCATTCCACCAGGAACATAATGTCTCTACACCCTGGTCAACACCAGATTCCTCTTTTAAAATTTCCTCCTAATTTATGTTAAAAAATGGAATTATATTTTGTCACTTTTGTAGTTTTAACTAAGGTTGAACGGCTTTTTGTTGTCTCACTGGATATTTTACTTTTTTTCCTATGGATATATTCCTATCCTTTGGGTTATTTGTAGGTATTTTTTTTGAATTACTAGTACCAATCATTTGTTGTGTTTTGCCCTGTTTTCTCTTACACTATCACTCATCTTTTACTTCTCCTGTGTTCTATAGCACTAGAATTTAAACTTTTAATGTAGTTTTTCTTTTTTCCTCAGTATTTAAAAAATGTAGTTGTGGTGTTATTCACACATAAAATCATTTTCAGTATTATTTTTTTCAATGTAAATTTTAAAAAATGGAATCACTAAGCTAAAGACTAAAAATATTTTCAGGTATTTGCTGCAGTCAGCCAGGACATAAGTTGCACCTCACGAGGGGGTAGGCATGAAGAGGGTCATGACCTGCCAGGTGCCCAAGTTTTCTTTGAATCTCAGGATAACTTCTAGTCCTTATCTTGAGGGTCTAGAAACTCAATTTTGTTGTCATAGACAGCCACTACCCATCCACATACCCTCAGTGCCACAAAGAAGTGGACACACCAGTGGGCTAGTTTATTTTTAATATAAATATATATATAAATTTATATATTTATAAAGTTTATATTTATATAAAATAAATATAATTGCTGTGAGAAATATATATTAGTAAATTAGGATAACAGCAGTGCATGAATTGCTCCAACTGGCACACATTTCTTCCTTGTAGGGACACAGATTGTTGTTAATCTGGCATTGGGAAAGGATCTTAACCAAGGCAGGTCAGGATGCTTCTCACCTGCTCAGAAACTGTAGCATTGTCCTCACAGCCAGGCCTCCCTTGTCCAGAGGCTTCTGGGGGTCCTTCCCCTTGTAGTTCCTTGGAGTGTTACATTTCTGGTGTCCTTCAGCTGACTCCCGTTCTTGGATCCTTATTCTATAGGACACATGATACGTTTCCCCATCAGAAACATGTATGTGGTCACTGGTGCATATGTACTTGTCAGGAGTTTCATTTAAGAAAACTTAAAACTTGGCTAGTCTGATAGGGGAAATTCATGCAGTTATTTTCTTTGAGGGAAAAGATTTTTATACAGCAGAGTGGTATAGGGTGAAACAAACCTCTAAACGAATTGTTTCTCTTCAGGTGGTGATCAATGGAGGGGCCACGTCCAGTGGTGAACAGGACAATGAAGACACCGAGCTCATGGCAATATATACGACAGAAAATGGCATCGCAGAAAAGGTACCTCTTTCGTCAGCCCCATCCATTCACCCACCACTATACAAGGAAGTTCCTATATAAGGAAGTGGGTATCCATCTGGAATTTTTGTCTCTTCCTTTTTGAGTGTGTATGTGTTTGTGTTCTTCATAATGGAAATAGAAGGAGTGATAAGGAATAGTACTTAGAAATTTTTATTGTTTTAATGGCAATATTTCAGTGAGAACCATGTAGAGGTCTTTAACTAGATATTTTTAAAACCTCAGCCAGGATCCCAGAGTGAAGTGGTTAGGAGTTTGAGGTCTGTCGTTAGGTCTGGGTACTAATATGACTCTGATCCTAAGGGAATTACTTAAGCTTTCTGGGCATTAGTTTCCTCACCTCTAAAATGGGTATAAAAATATCAGCATCTGCCTTAAAGTTGTGAGTATTGAAATAATATATATAAAGTTATTAGCATTGTGCCTGGTACATACTGTTCAATTCAGTTCAGTCGCTCAGTTGTGTCTGACTTTTTGCAGCCCCATGGACTGTAGCACACAGTATATATATATACTGTGTACAGTAAATAAAAGACACCAGTAGATAAGTTATGTAGACTGTGAAAATGCCTTGAACAAAGATATTTGAGAATCACACACTGAAGTGGGTGATCCCTCATCCCATCTGCTTGACAGGTCAGTCTGTGTGACCATAGAATGTATGACCATATTCACAGGGGCCTGGAGAAAGCTGCCCAGAGAGGGTCTGCATGCCTTAATTTCTTTTTCTGTTTGTATCTGCTACTGTGTCTGATATATATGAAAAGTATAATAACATGGAATTTCCAGACTGCTTTGCAGTCCTTAGACTTCTAGATTTCATTTGAGTTTCATTTGACAGTGATTTTTAAGACAGATTTTATTTTTTATCATCAACTTATATAATGATCAACTTATATTCTAGAACCACTATATTGTACTATAGACAGTGTATACTGTGTATTCTAATAACAGACCACTGGAAAGTTGATATATACAAATATAATTCCTAGCTCGGGTACTAGTGCAGTAAGTATACAGTATAATCACAAAAATGGTAAAGAACAAAATTAATTATATTGAAATTCTTAAATAATCAGATTTTTGTGTCTGTGATTTCTTTTTCTCTTTCTCTCTTTTTCTTTCTTTTCTAGTTTGGGAGATGAAAATTTCATTTTTGGCTGTCTTGACCAGTATTGCTGTTGTTTGGTCAAGCTATTATAAGTTACGTGAATCTTAAGTATAGATTCATGCCAAGATGTTGTAATTTCTATAGTACTGATTTCCAAGTTGCTCCTCAGAGCACAGCGATGGGAGCAGCCATTGTTGAGGCTTTGGTCTGCAGCAGAGACTGTCCGTAGGGCAGGATCTGGGTAGGGCTTACTTCTTATCTAGCTTGAGTTTCAACATCCAAGAGACACATCTTGTAGCAAAGTGCTTCCTTTTTTTTTTTTTTTTAAGCAAAGTGCTTCTGTCTTTTACAGACTTGTTGAACTCCATTCAAACCTCAGATATTTGATCCTTAATCAGAGAATCACCAGAATTTCCAGGCTGTAGGCTGTCATGATTTTGGATGTTCATTATCCAGGAATTGATGGCTCTCTTTTGAAATGATTGATAGAGTATTAATTTTTCAGGTTGTAAAATATCTGTAGGTGTACCTTTTACTGATCTGCTGGCAGGAAAAATGTGTAGTATGGTAATGTTAGCACATTTATGCTAGACATTTATTGTTCGGGTGAACATTTTTTTTATCATCTGAACTTTAATAGGTGTGTATTTTCTCAAACACTAGTGAAATAGATCTTCCTAGTCCTTTTTCTTTTCCTATGAAATGGCAAGGATACTAAGAATTATTGTATGTTGAATAGTGCCAAAGGTCCAGACCCTTAGCTTCAGCAGCCTGTCACATTTAGTCCTCTTAGCAACCCTGTTAGAAAGGTACCATCACTGTCCTTGTTTTAAAGGTGAAGAAAATGAAATATTAGGTCTTCTGTTGTCTTGAATTTGTGTAAAGAAAGCTTGACACCAGAGGATTTTACTCTTTGGGATCTTGCTTTTCAGATGGCATTGAAAGGCTCTCTGAACACTTGACTATGAAATAAGAATGAACCATTCAAGGAAAGACAAAAGAACTGGAAGCAAGAGATTCTGTCCTATGTGTTCTCCATATCTGTAGGGTTTCTTAGATATTCATTTTAATGTACTTACTTATTTTATTAAAAACTTTGCTTTTCTGGTGTCCATTTAACTCTTGAATTTCTTGAAGTAAATTCTGGCTAATGTGATATTAGCTACAAGAGACTCATTTTGGAATTTGCTCAAAGGGATTTTTTTGTTGAAAAGACCAGAAGATTAGTGCCCCAGATCATAATCATAAGTCCATAGGATGATGTTGAGACTCATGTCCAGGACTTTCTCAGTATGGACTTCAGTATCATTAGGATTCTTCAATTAGGGAGGCTGAGGGACTTGAACTTCATAATGAGGGTATTTCTTTTTTAAGTTTTAACCTTTTTTGATTTATGAACCATGCAGATTCTCTCTCTCTCTCTTTTTCTTTTTAACACCAAAAACATTTTGTATTGGGATATAGCCAATTAACAATGTTGTGCTAGTTTCAGGTGAACAGTGAAGGAACTCAGCCATATATATACATATATCCATTCTCCCCCAATGCCCCTTCTGTCCAGACTGGCACATAACATTGAGCAGAGTTCCATGTGCTATACAATAAGTTTTTGTTGGTTATCTGTTTTAAATATAGCAGTGTGTACATGACCTTCCCAAAGTCCTTAACTGTCCCTTCCCCCTGGCAACCATGAGTTTGTTTTCTAAGTCTGTGAGTCTCCTTCTGTTTTGTGAGTAAGTTCATTTGTATCATTTAGATTCCATACATAAAGGACATCATATGATATTTCTCCTTCTCTGTGTGACTTACTTCACTCAGTATACACTCTCTAGGTTCATCTATGTTGCTGGAAATGGCCTTATTTTGTTCTTTTTAATGGCCAAGTAATATTCCGTTGTATACATGTACTACATCTTCTTTATCCATTCCTCTGTCAGTTTGCATTTAGGTTGCTTCCATGTCTTGACCATTGTAAACAGTGCTGCAGTGAACATTGGCGTGCATATGTCTTTTCAGACCATGTTTTTCTCTGCGTATATGTCCAGAAGTGGAACTGCAGGGTAACATGGTAGCTCATAGTTTTAGTTTTTTAAGGAACCTCCATACTGTTCTCTGCAGTGGCTGCATTTTATATTCCCACCAACAGCACAGAAGGGCCCCTTCTCTCCACACTCTCTCCAGCATTTGTTGTTTGGATTTTTTGATGATAGCCATTCTGGCCAGTGTGAAGTGATATCTCATTGTAGTTTTGATTTGCATTCTATAATAATTGGCAGTTTTGAACATCTTTTCATGTGCCTGTTGGCCATCTGTGTGTCATCTTTAGAGAAATGTCTATTCAGATCTTCTGCCCATTTTTGAGTAGGTTGTTTGTTTTGATGCTATTAAATGTCATAAAGAAAGAAAGAAAGTGAAGTCGCTCAGTCGTGTCTGACTCTTTGCAACCCCATGGACTGTAGCCTACCAGGCTCCTCCATCCACAGGATTTTCCAGGTAAGAATACTGGAGTGGGTTGCCATTAAATGTCACAAGCTGTTTGTAAATTTTGGAAACTAATCCCTTATTAGTCCCATTATTTGCAAATATTTTCTCCCAATCTGTGGGTTGTCTTTTTGTTTTGCTTATTGTTTCCTTTGCTGTGTAAAAGCTTTTGAGTTTAAGTAGGTCCAGTTTGTTTATTTTTGCTTTTGTTTCCATTATTCTGGGAGATGGGTTAAAAAAGATGTTGCTGTGATTTATGTCAGAGTGTGTTCTGCCTATGTTTTCCTCTAAGAGTTTATAGTGTCCAGCCTAACATTTAGGTCTTTAATCCACTTTAAGCTTATTTTTGTGTATGGAGTCAAAGAATGAGCTAATATTTTTTACATGTGGCTGTCCAATTTTATTAGCATCATTTAATGAAGAGACTATCATTCCCACATTGTGTAGTCTTGCTTCTTTTGTCATAGATTAATTGACTATAGGTGCTTATTTCTGGGTTTTTTTTAATCCTGTTCTGTTGATCTATATTCCTATTTTTGTGCCAGTACCATACTGTCTGGTTGATTGTAGCTTTATAGTATAGTCTAAAGTCAGGGAGCCTGATTCCTCCAGCTCTGTTTTTCTTTTTCAAGATTGCTTTGGGTATTCATGGTCTTTTGTATCTCCATACAAATCTTGAAATTTTTTGTTCTAGTGCTATGAAAAATGCCATTGGTAATTTTACAGGGATTGCATTGAATCTATAGATTGCCTTGGGTAGTATAGTCATTTTGACAGTATTAGTTCTTTCAATCCATGAACATGGTATATCTTTCCATCTGTTTGTTGTCTGATTTCTTTCATCCGTGTCTTATGGTTTTGAGAGTATAAGTCTTTTGTCCCTTAGGTAGGTTTATTGTTAGGTGTTTTATTCTTTTTGATGCAATAGTAAATGGAATTACTTCTTGTAATTCTCTTTCTAATCTTTCATTGTTAGTATATAGAAGTGCAACAGACTTTTGTGTATTAATTTTGTAACCTGCAAGTTTACCAAATTCACTGATGAGTTCTAATAATTTTCTGGTAGCATCTTTAGGATCTTCTATGTATAATATATCATCTGTAAACAGTGACAGTTTAATGTTTTATTTTCCAGTTTGGATTCCCTTTACTTCTTTTTCTCTGATTGCTGTAGCTAGGACTTCCAAAACTATATTGATTAAAAGTGGTGAGAGTGGACATCCTTGTCTTGTTCCTGATCTTAGAGGGAATGCTTTCAGCCTTTCACCATTAAGTATGATGTTAGCTGTAGGTTTGTTGTATATGGCCTTTATTATGTTGAGGTATGTATCCTCTATGCCCACTTTCTGGAGAGTTTTTATTATAAATGGGTCCTGGATTTTGTCTAAAG